GACTCCAAAAGATCACCATTAAATTTGGCATCAATCTCTAAAAAAATCAAGTCCCACACCTATGATAACTTTTCTAGAGATCTGTATCAAATTTAATGGTGATCCTTTGGGGTCCTGCACATATGGGTGTGGGAAGGTCTCATATATATATATATATATATACATTAACTTGCAATGGGGCACACATAATTTAATTTAAAACTAAACCAACATTAATAGCTTTTTGCTACTAAGAAGGAGACATATTTGATTGATAGTTGACAGATGAAAGAGAAGAATAATATTTAGGCACGTTTTTTGGAAGTTTTTATGAAAAAATATTCTAAAATTAATATAATATTTGTAATATTTTTCCTTTCTAGAGAATATCAAATTTAATTAATTTATTTAAAAAATCACGTCTAAATATTTTTAAACCTGAGTATTTAATTTTCGAGTGTGGTTTATATAAAGTTGCAACCTTATTTGTAAAAGTAAGGTTGCAAATTTCACGCATCTTTTATGACAATATAAAAAAAGGTTTTTTTATAATATACACCTAAAAGTTCAAGTTATTTGGATTTGTAAGAAAAACATTAAAATTAAAATACGAAATGAGGTCGTGACCGTCAGATCGGCCCAAATTTAATCTAAGTCTTTGTGCTCATATGAACTCATATGTTTATATGAGCTAGTAGACTAATCTCAACATTTTCCTTTAAATAAAATGAATGGTGTAAATTAATGCAACCTTACTTTTACAAAAAAAACAGTATTATAAAAACTTTTTCCTTTTTGAAATTGTGCATATTTTAAACGAAGTTTTGCTAAGTAAGGGAACATTCAGTGTTAGAGAGGACTTTGATATTACATCTTTTGAGCTCTAAATATTTATTTTTTATTGATCATCAAAATGATATAAAGTATAATAACAATTTGCGAACATTGTTCTCTATCAAATCCCCGTGTTTGATACATGCTTAACTTTAAATAACTAGATAGATATATAGAGAGAGAGGGATTGTGTTTTTACGGAGAGAGAGGAAAGAGTTAGGCACATGTCTATATTGGAGGAACCAGGGGATTTGGGCATATGTGTGAGTGTTATTAAGAGTATAGTTATCAAGACAGAATTGAACTTATAATTCGATTAGTTGGACTGCAAACCAGTGTCTTGGTTAGTCTGATCTAAAATAAAAACTGGAGTTGATTGAAAATAAGTCAAAACCAATAAGTTTGGGACGATCGGACTAGTCAGCTTTAACCGATTGAACTAGGTAAATGAAGTTGGGCAAATTTTTTAATGAGTGTATCTATTTTTTTTTTTTTATAAAATCTAGTCCAACAAATTTGATCAGTTAGATAAATGTTAACTGAACCAAACCCCTCAATGATTTTCTAACAAAAGCATATTGTAATAACACATTGTGATAGAGGGGGGTATTCAAGAGAGAGAGGAGGTAAGGAATGAAATTGAACAAATGTGTCATGGAGGTGGGGAGGATTTGGGCACATGTGAGTGTTGTTTAGAGAGAGAGAGGGGAATGTGGGATATGTGTTGGTGGAGGGAGTGGGGTGAAGGGGAATTTGGGCTTATGTGAGTGTTGTTAAGAGTAGGAGGAGGGGGATTTGGGCATGTGTGTGTTTGTTTGTGTGTGAGAGAGATAAAGAGAGAGAGAGAGAGAGAGAGAGAGAGAGAGAGAGAGAGAGAGAGAGAGAGTCTACTAG